AATGCGATCACTCCTTGGAATACGATACCCAGTACACAATTTCAAACGACGACCTATACCGCACAACCAAGAGCAACCCTATATCAGACACAGTTGCATGTAGGCGACTACGAATGACCGGTCATGTGCTACGGATGGACACGGACACGCCACCGCAAGTAGCCATGAGCGGCTATTTTGACAAGGGCAACAAAGCACCTCGTGGACGGCCAAGGTTGACACTGGCCACAAGTCTGGTCGCTCAGCTGAATAAGCTGGGTGTGCCAATGAAAGACCATGGAAGACCTTTCCAGGTGCCGACAACAAGCAGCAGACAAGACAGACTGGAGGAAACTATGCAGCTCGACACCCGGGGGAGAAATCGGTATCAGCAGCTACTACACCTAGCTGATGATGCTCATAAGACAGAAGCGGAAAAAACACTGAATTTCTTTATTTAGTGCTCTATTACGCGAAATGTGCTATTATTATTATTATTTTAAACTCGGATGTTGAGCCATAAATAAATGTAGAAGAGAAAAGGACATATGGATACGAGTTAAGAGTAACTCTCCATTGCCTTCCCCTCTTTGGTCTTTCCAAAACCTTGAACCTTCCAAGTTGGAAGGCTGTCGGTTAGCGCTACGGACATGTGTTGAAGTTAGGTGTCAGGACGTCGAATGTCTCAGTACTCTGTCAGTTTTGTGCCTAGTTATTGCACTTTCTGACTGTATATAGTATCATGTTACAGTGATGGAGAGTTACTCTTAACTCGTATCCATATGTCCTTTTCTCTTCTACATTATTATTATTATTATTATTATTATTATTATTATTATTATTATTATTTTTTTATTTTTTTTATTATATGTGCAAGGCCTCTTTTACGGGCAAAAATTAACACAATGTATTAAAATGCAATACAACATACACTGGAGAAGAAATCAGGAAAATAAAATATGAGCTCAAAAATGGAACGAAAAATAGCAAATAGAATCAAAACTCACGATGGAATCAAACTCATGATGGAAACTACAACCCAATGAGTTGGAAAACCAACCACAGAATTAGATATTGGGAATAGAGTCAGACACAACAACAACCGAAATCAGTGCACCAAAAATCTGTCCTACAAAAAACAAAGGAACAAGAAAAACAAGAAAGACGAAGTACAAAGAATCCCCAAAAAAGAGGGGAGAACGGGATGAAGAGGACCGGAGAGCGGCAAACCCCAGGAGGACTTAGCGTCACGTAGTGGCGGGAATGCGGGCCTCCACAGAAACGGCATCTACATCCGCCGCCAGACCAGGTGCACGGAATGCACGGCGACTCCCACGAACCATCAGGACGGAGTCGCGGACAAGGCTGAAAGCCAGGTCCGTCCGCAGCTTTCCCATCACGAGGGGATAAGGCTGCGAGAGCTTGGTGGAGAGCTTCGTTCCGAGCAGCTTCAGGAAGCCGGGTGCCCTCCTTCGCCAGGGCACCAGCAGAAGACAGGATGATCGGGGTGAACGACGCGTGCTCAACTTCCCGGATCCGGGCACCGTATGCCGACTGCTTCTGACGCTCGTGCCATTGGAACACCT